GTCAGTGACAGGGGGCTTCTTCATGCTTTCCCTTCCGCCTCCCTGCATTGTGCCTACATATGCAAATTAACCACCATCTTTGTTGGCAGTTAACTGCCATCTTAGTTGGCAGTTAATTTGCATATTGCCCTGATTAGCCAATGAAAAGGGTAGTGGTCGTACGCCAATTACCATTTTTCTCTTTTATTAGTGTAGATAAGCAACTGAACGACTGAAAGACCAGTCACTATGATGCTCACTGACTACCAGGGGGCAGATACTCAATGGAGGAGCTGCCCCCTGGTGGTCAGTGCACTACCACAGCCAGCCAACCTCCCGAGGTCCCTCCCGTCGCTGTCTGGCTCTGATCACCCCAATTGGGACTGGGCAAGATGGCCCCAATCAGCTCTGATTGCTGGCCAGGCCAAGGGACCCCACCCGTGCATGAATTCATGCACCGTTGTCTAGTCTGCTAATAAAAGAATTTTGTCATCATCATCATCATCAAAAAAAAAAAATTTGACGTTGATCAATGTGACTTGCCAAGACATCTGAGACATGAGATTGGTTCTTGGAGACACCAGGGGCCACTATCCCTGGGCCCAGGTAATTCCTCCATGCTGACATACACTCTACTCACCAGGCTGGAAGAGAGGCCGGTACATCCTAAGAACACTGCACTGAACATCAATACTGAAGAGCCAGGAAGGAGGATAATTGTATTGTTCCCTCCGCCCACGTTTATCACAGCACCCCAAGATGCTCTAGTCTCCCTCAAGGAGCAAAACATGTTCCTTTCATTCTGCAGTGACTTCTTACCTCCACCCAGTTAAGAAGGCTCAGATACAGATAACATGTTTAATTATGATAAAAGCTCTGGAGTCAGGTAAAGGCTTCAATGTTCTTCTCTTGGACAGTGGGCAACAGCGGGGAGGGGGCAAAAGAAAAATGCCTTAGGGGCCTTGAGTAGACTCAGCTGGTAGCCCAGAGGACAGACTCCAAGGACACAGCCATGGCCTCGGGAGTGGGGGAAGAGGAGAGGGTCACAGGAGTTTCCTGGCCGACTGCCTCAGAGTAACTAGGACTCTGATCTCAGAGGGAGCATGTTCACAGGCAGCTGGGAAATCTGTGCGAGGACAACAAGCAGGCATTTCAGAAGAAACAGCCGATCCCAGTCACAGTACGATCAGGAGTCAACGCAGGAGCCCTGTAGAAGAGAGAGTGATCAGCACCCGGCACCCGGGACGTACCCTGTCCCCTCCTCTTGGGGCCCCTGCAGCATCAGCTAAAGCTGAGGTCTCCACATAAGGTCATTACCTCCCCCAGTATCTGTGTCAGGGTGAAATCAGCTAAAGAGGACATGTACTTCAGCTCCACCCAGACATGCAGGGGGCGGGGGAACAGCTGTTACCCCTTGGGGGATATGAGCATTTCATCTTTTAGCAAATTTAATGATAACTAACCTTCCTTCCACCACTAGGAGTGACTTATAAATGCCCACAGGCAGAAGCCACCAGCATGTGGCAAAAAGTGGGCATCATCCATAAGTCTACCACCCAAGACATGGCTCTGGCTCCACGTTTCACAGAAAGATTCACCAAAGTTAAACCCTGGTTCTAGATAACAAACCTGGAGCTTCCTTCAGAAACTAGACGAGCTTCTCCCCGAATCCTTGATCCCCTGGCAGGGAATAGGCCATGAACTGCATCTTGCCCCCCTCTCAATTTTTTCTGTCCTAGAACCACCTCCATCCTCCCCTCCCCATTAAATCAGAGCAGAGACAGTACCTGGGGGGAGGCCCATGAGATCCTACAAAAGGACCTTACACAGAGAAAGGTCTCATCACGCAAAGAGCCAGTCCCTCTCCCACCCACAGGAAATGAGATAAGCAACTTAACTGGAAATGTATTTCCTGCTACCCATCAGCCAAAAGGCCTTACCCCTAAGCTACAATCCCCCAAGTGAGTGGACCTGTCAAAGCCAATGCACTGACCTTCATAAAGAAGCAGCTTTTGGAAAGGGGCCAGCGAGACAGTGATGAGCTCTCAGCCCCATGGCACTCGCCACAGTCACGCCTGTGGCAGGGCTGCCTTTCAACCAGTAAAATCCAGTCCAAAGCCTCACCTAGCTGTCTGTCTCCTCCCACCACCAGCCTGGCTTCCTGCCTTCCAGGTCAGGAGGAGAGTTACACCCTTGCTCTGGGCAGATCCAGACTGTGCCCCTGGGGAGCAGAGCCTGAGTGTCAGCTCCAGTCCCCAAACCCACAGGGGCCCTTTGGAAGCCTCCACCCCTGGGCAGGACCAGCCAGTAAATTCTTGGACACCTTCGGTGGTGACAGAGGGGAGTGGGTCCTGCTCCTTCACACACATCCTAACCTTGGGCCCCAAGCCCCATCACTTGCTGCCACAGCAAGCCCTCCAGAGCTCCCAGCCTGGGTTCTGGGCACAGCGTAGAATGACCTCCCTAGTGTCTGGAAACACAATGAGATTAGGAATCTTCTGATGCCCCTGCCATGGCACCAGAGGGCTCTAGTGTCCTGTGATGCCCATTCAGCAGTGACATCAGGGGTAGGGCTGCGATGGAACAGACAGGGGCCGCTGTCTGCCCTCTGTCTGTGGGGCCCAGGGTGCAAGAGACAAACTGCCCCTTACGCCACTCGACTGCGATGGGACTCTGGAGGCTGGGGTGCTCCACGCGGCAGGTGTAGATGTCTCCTCGCTGGGGGGTCATTTCCAGCATCACCAGGATCTGGTAGGTCCAGTCCCCATTCCTAATCAGGGGGGTGGATACGACGCCGGCTGTCTCCTCCTGGTCATTCCGAAACCACCGGACTTTGATGTGGGCTGGCTAGAAATCCGTCACCGAGCAGACCAGCATGTTGTGGTGGGTTAGGGCCTCTGTCTTGGCCGGGGAGATGGTCACTGTGGGCTCCACTGGGATGGAAGGGGTGACAGAGAGGAAAATAGAGAGTGAGATGTGGGGGCACAGGCAAGTCTCCCCAATGGCTGCCTAGGAGGTAGAACCAGCTGGAAAGATCCCTGGGTTCTGAGTCTGGGATGAGGACCCGAGCTGGGCCACTTGATTAGCTCGACTAAACACATGAGTCAGTTAACTTTTCAGAGCCAAGAGCTAATAGCAATCATTTAATGGGAGTTATTCTATTGATACCAACTGATAAAAATGGAGCCTTTAAATGTTTAGATTGCTACGTTATACAGGCCGCTATTCACAATGTTTTTAAATAAAGTTGAAAAACTCAGACTTAGTTTCCCTCCATCTGTTGATGGTGACCCTGGGGATCAGCTCTAGGGACTCACACCAGGGCAGTGACCCTGTTTCCTGTTGGTCCCGCAGCTCCTCACAGTGGAGAAAACACATCAGTTTGAGTCTCCTGGGGGACCATCAGCACTGGTCACAGCTCCATGAACAGTAACGTGGACTGATAATTAGGAACATTACAGATAGTTCTATGCCCAACAGAGCAGAACAGCAGTGACATCACATCCCTCCTCCGAAGCAATGCTCTCAAACAGGCTCTTCCCTACCATTCTCAGTGGCAAACACGGACAGGATTTAAGGGCAGGAGCACTTCTCACATGTCATCCATCAACAAACCTCTCTCAGCTGTTAGCCTAACCCAACTCAGAAGCCATTCTGTGGCAAACTCCCATTAAATTATATACTATTAAATAATAAACCTCATGTCCACGTCATCGATGCCACCTATATTTTTTCCATTTATTGATTCATTTATTCATTCATTCAACAAATATAAATTCCACAAGCTCTAGGAATAGAAAGATAACAGACTACTGTCCCTCCTCTTATAGAAATTGCAATTTAGTAAAAATAAATGTTATTTTAAAAGTGTATAATTTTTTTGAAAGAAAAGAGAACCTTGAAAACAAGTAACACTGATAAATATCATTTTTTGACCATGTCTCAATTCCTTTATCTCCTCAGAAAGCCATCTGTGGTCAAATACTACAGACTCTCCCTCCCTATTTACACATCTTATCCTTTATCTCTCCAGCCATTTTATTGCATCTCCCTTATTCCCATAGTGTGAAACTATATACTACATAGTTCATGTGTGCATTTTAAATATGTTTTCATTGATTTTTTTAAAGAAAGGAAGAGGGAGAGAGAGAGAGAGAGAGAGAGAGAGAGAGAGAGAGAGAGAGAGAGAAACATCAATCATTGCCTCCTGCATGCACCCTGACCAGGGATCGAACCCACAACCTGAGCCTGTGCCATGACCGGGAATCAAACCCACGATCTTCCAGTGCATAGGACAATGCTCAACCACTGGGCCACACCAGCCAGGCTCACTTAGACTCTTGTCAGGTTTTCCTTCCTGGGGACTAAAAGCATGGTCAGCTAGCTATATTCATAAAATCTGTCAGTTTGACAGACTGGGAGTAAAAAAAAAAACAGGGCACGAGTTCAAAAGAAAAATGTTAGAATAATTTTTATGGAAAATAGACCTGAAATAGCAAAAATATAAGCACTCTCATCATTAGGATGTGGGTCAGAAGGCGAGAGAATGTAAAGTCAGCAAAAGTTCTGTGAACATGTGCAGATAACACTGGGGCCAGACTAGGGATTCACTAGTGAACTCTCCATACCCACAAACATTGAAAATAGGCAAGAACAGACTCATTTTTCTGCTTCTGGTCATAACTGCTTTCATGAGGCTGTGCTCCCATGATACACATGTAATACACATATGCAATACAGAACACAACGACTATTGTGTGGGAAATAACTGGGCTAATTAATTCAAGTGTTTATTATGTACCAGTATTAGCATATTAAAGTGGTCATGCTAACTCCTAACACACAAGTAGTTGTGAAATTAAATAGCATTAAACAGAGGGTGTTTGGTAAGGTGATTGTCAAGAAATAGATGGATATAATTAACATTCACAATATCTACTCCTGAATGGATGGTGATTCTGGGGGAAGGGAGGCAGGGTCTAAGTCAAAAGGAACCTGGAAAAATTTTTATTCAATCATTTAATAGCATCAATTTATTTACTTCAAAACTTCAGTTCTATTGTGCCATTTGCTGAGCTTCCTAAGAGATTGAAATTCTTCCTTATGAACCACAGGAGTGTTGTTTTGCTTTTAGCAAACACTTTTTTCCTCAGACTTTGCGTTTACAAATTCTTTATATATTTTTTAATTGATTTTTTACAGAGAGGAAGGGAGAGGGATAGAGAGTTAGAAATATCGATGAGAGAGAAACATCGATCAGCTGCCTCCTGCACACCCGCCACTGGGGATGTGCCCGCAACCAAGGCACATGCCCCTGACCGAAATCGAGCCTGGGACCCTTGAGTCCGCAGGCCGATGCTCAATCTACTGAGCCAAACCAGTTAGGGTGCGTTTACAAATTCTTAATTAAGATCCAAGTCAAGAAGAATTTACCGCATTAAGCAAAATAGCACAAAATAATTAATAAAGTCCGTTTTGAGGCTGTACTTGCCCTTCTGTTTTCTACTTCGCCTCAGTGGTGGCAGCTGAGAATTTACTCATTCATCTCAGAAAGGCTGAGTGAGCTCTGCACCCGGGAATGTGTAGGCAGAGGCCCAGGCACAAAACTGACAGTCTCTGCTAAAAGAGGTGCAGGACTAACGACAGACATTTAGAAAACAGAAAGAGATAAATAAAAGTTTGACAACAAAGAGCCAAAATAATAAAAAGCTTCTGCACAGCAAAAGAAACCATCAACAAAACAAGGAAGCCCACTGCATGGGAGAACATATTTGCCAATGTTATCTCTGATAAGGGTTTAATCTCCAAAATTTATAGGGACCTCGAACAACTTAACAAAAGGAAGATTTAAAAAAATCCAATAAAAAAATGGGCAACGGACCTAGATAGACACTTTTCGAAAGAGGACTTACAGAAAGCCGAAAGACATATGAAAACCTGCTCAAAGTCACTAATTATACGAGAGATGCAAATCAAAACGACAATGCGATATCATCTCACACCTGCAAGAA